CTCAGAACCAAATAAATTTGAAATTATAAATAAAAATTATATTTACGCTAAATAAAATTTTATTTTTACTGAATAAATTTTTTTTATTTAAAACAAATAAAAAGTTACAGGGAAATATATTTTTTTTTCTCAAATAAACGCCAATAAAAGATTTTATTATTTATTTTTATTATTATTGTTTATTTTATAATATTGTTATTTGTTCTATTATTATTATTATCATTAATTTTATTTATTTTGAATTAAACAAATTCTTTCATTGAGTTACAGAAAATATAATTTTAATATTAAAAAAAAAAAGTAAAGAAAAAGAAATCTTTTTCAAAAACTAAAAAACATTATTTCAACAAAAAATTTGTATTTGAAACAAATAAAAAATAAATAATATTTATTAATTGTTTCTTATAATTTTGTACTTTTAGTACGAAAGGTCATTTTTCTTTTTGTAAGCCCATTTACTTGTAAAATAAATAAAATAAAAAAAAAAATTTATTTATTATAAAATTTAATTTACCTTTCATATGTACATAATATATAATAAAGAAAATCCTATTCTATCTAGATAATATGAGAATCAATATGAGCCAAAAAAAAAAAAAATTGGTTCAGAATCGTTTCGAGAAATATGAAATTGGCCCTTATTTTAACGCGGAAATGTGTCATATTCAACGCGAGAGAAAGATATTATATATATACGAAATTTTTTTTTTTTATAAAAAAATATGGTTTTCAGCGATAGAGAAGAAGACATGAGGCGTTGTAATGTCCGGACGATCACAGGGTTCGATTTACGACACGGGAAATGTGTGATGTTCGACACCGGTACGTCATAAAGTACATGGGGAGAATATATATATCCATACATGTACATAATCGACTATGTATGTATACCACATCCTCCTACGCGTTTCAAAGGAACATTTCACTTTTGCACATCTTGCTCTCTTCTACTATATCCAAGATTATATCGTCAACGAAAATTCACTTAAAAAAAAAAAAAAAAAAATTTCACACCCGTTACATATATAGTTATCGATTTTTTTTTAAGATTGATATTGAAGTTTACAATTTCTACTTTGAATAGGTACATTTATTAAATATTTACTTCACAGATTTTTAAATTAAATATATTATAATTTGGTTATCAATGTGCAACAAAAAATAATATTATTAAAATAAATTATAATTAAATTAATAATATTTAATTATTAATAATAATAATAATTATTATGATTATGATTATTATTATTATTATTATTATTTAAGGTGCAAAAAATTAGAAACTAGGGAATAATTTTCAATTAGTTGTTATTTTATTTTATCATTTTTTCAGGCCAATTTGAAAGAAGGCAACAATTTTTTTTGTATTATAATAATTATTATCTATAATAAAAAAAGCTTCAAATTATGAAAAATTAAAATCTCATTTTTTTTTAAAATAACTAACCACTTTACTTAATATTGTTAAATAAATTTTTATTTGCGTATATATTAAAGAATTATTTTTTTTTCGAATCAATTTTGTAAACACAAAAATTATTAGCTCAAATACAGTAACACTTAGAAATTTGTTTAAAACAATTAAATTTTGCTATTGAATCAATGAAAAAAATTTATTGCTAAACAGTTAAACAAACTTATGGTTGAATCAACCAAAAGTTTCATTTGGCTCAATCAAATTCTTTCTTCGTTCGCGAAAAATTTACGTTTATTTAGAGGAAAAAAAAAATATTTATTTTGAATCAAATTTTGTTAAAATTAAACAAAATCTCGAACAAAATTTTGTTTGAAATAACAAAAAATTGTCTTAATACAAAAAAAAAATGAAGTGCTTATTTGATTTAAATAAATATTTGCGGTAATATTTATTCGATAAAAGTCAATAATGAACTGATGTATTTAGAATCAAATAAATTTTTTTTTAAGTAAAAAATATAGTCAATATACTCGCGCCTATATATTATTAATTAATAACCACTGTTTTTTATTTTAATTTCCAACTTTTAGTTTCAATAAAAATATTATTTTAATGAAATTATTACTGCAGTGCTGTAAAAATATCACTTTTTTCACCTTTTTTGTTTCTATCCATGTTTTCAATTTCAAAAAATGGAGAAAATTCACTTGAAAAAAAGAAAAAAAAAATTCACACCCGTTATATTGCATATACACGAAACGTTACCGATTTTTGTATATAAAGTCGACACAAAGATTGACATTGTCTACTTGCACACGATCGGCGCTTGTTCTTTATATTTAAAAAATAAATATCGAGTAATTTTTTTTTTTTTTAATTATTCTGTGTCCACGCGCATTTATGCGAGAGCGAAAAATAAAAAACCAAAAGCATTTTTGGCATTGAATGAACATGATGCGAAAGTTCTTGATGTACTGAAAGAGCGAAAGCCTCGATATTAGAGTTGGAGGGTCGTCTGGCGTTAACCCCGGAATGAATCTCTGGTAGTGGGGGAGATCCCCTGATTTTGTCTCTTTTTAATACATATACCAGCAGCCATAGTGCTTTCCTGCTCTTTTTACAGATGAGGGGTCGGACGACGCTCTCGTCACCAGGGGACGACGACGTTCTCGTATTCCTCGTTGAAGAGAGCCGCAAAATAGTCGACGCTACTCTCTCCCTCTCTCTCACATTTTTTTTTATTTTATTTTTTATTTTACTCTATACGCTTTGGTTCGATCGGCATATAGTATAGCGTCAATACGAGTATGTTCAAGTTGCTTCGCAAAAAAAAAATTAAAAAAATAAAATAAACGTCAATTTTAAGAGAGAACTAAAATTTTATTTATGTTATATATTAATAAATAAAAAAATACGACTTAGGGAAAAATTTTAACACATTCACAATGTGCTATTTTAGAAAATATAATATTTTTTCCATATTTTCATTTGTATGAAAAATATAATAATTTATACTCTAAATTAGAGTCAACACATCGTTGTGCTCTATTTTTGTTTTAGAAAAATTTTATTATTCGTAATAATTATTTTTGATATATTCGTACAAATTCATTTTTTTTCACAATTATTATTTAATAAAATTTCATATATGGAAATAAATTTTTAAAGATGAATTGCACCGAAAAAAAATAATTTGAGCTGTAATAATTTAATAAAAAAGTAGGGAAATAACATACAGATAAAAATTTCTCAATGATAGTCTAATTTACATAAATTGTTTATTTTATAAAAAAAAGGAGAAAACTAATTTTTTAACTTACCTATGAATTTTTTTATGTTTATTGAATTTAAAAAATTTGATTAAAAAAACGAATTTAATTATTAAATTGCAAGTATAATTTTGTAAAAATTGAAGTTTGGTGTCTAATTATAAATTTCTTTGTTAAATACAATTATAATTTCAGTTTTACAATTCTACTTTAATTTTAACCTTTAAATTCGTTTTTTAAATAAGATTTTTTAAATTAAATTACTGATAGAAAAATTACTTCATTTCTAAACGACAAATTTTGATATTGGATGCAAAGGAAGATTTAATTTAATTATTTTAAAACAAAGAATTAATTTTTTCGTTTTTCTCGAAAGAAGTTTTTAATCTTTAAAATCAGCAAAAATTCTCAATCTTAATATTTTGTGTAAATTTTTTTTTCATATTTCTATAATATATAAAATTAAAAAGTAGATATAAGATACAAGTACATTAAAAATTAAAATTTTCAATTTATTTTTAAAATTTATTATTACTCAATATTAAGATGTAATTAATAAAAATTTATTTACAAATGTAGTTAACTATTTATCGTTAATTTTTATTATCTATTATTAAATATTAAATTAATCTTTTCCCCGTGCAACTCATCTTAAAATTTTATATGACAAGGTAAATAAATATAAAATTTTATTAAATAATTGAAAAAAAATTAATTGTACGGACTTCAAATTATTATAATTATGAATTATAAAATTTTTCTGAAAAAAGATGTCAACGACTTTATAGGTGAATTTGTTATGGCAAATTTTATTTGACATAGAAAATTTTATTATTCTCACAATGAAAAAAAAAGTTATTTGATTCAAATAATCGATTACTTGACTATTATCAAATAAATATTTATTTGTATTAAATAATTATTATTTAAGTCAATTAAATATATAGTATTTGCTTCAAATACAGAAATTATTTCTTCACATAATATTTATTTAATTCAAATAAAAATTATATGGTTCCATTGCATATAACAATTGAAATTTATGTTATTTATACCGGAATGTCAATTTATTTTTTAAACATTAACTGAGAATTTAAAATTATCCATGAAAAAAAAAGAAAAAATTGTAATATATTTCTTAAATTTTTTAATAAAATCCGAAGTTTTGAATTTAAATTTCTCTTATAAAATAATTATATTTCTATTATTTTTCATCGACAATTATTTTAAAAACGTTTGTTTCTATAATTTCACAACAATCAATTGTTTTTGTTGCAGTAAATTTTAATTAAATTTTCTTTTTAATATAATAAAAAAATTTAGTAAAAAATATCTTATAATTAAAAAAATTAAAAGAGATGAAAAAATGTTCATTTCTAAATTATTCCTAAAATATAATATTAAGCCTGAAGTTATAAAGGTTCAAATGAACGAAATAATTTTTTTGGTCCATAAACTTTTTTGAAAATTACTACAGCAATGAAAAATAAAAAAAGTACATTAAACATTTAATAAATAATTAATTTATTTTTCGATACAAAAAGCATTATTTTTTATTAATAATATTTTGAATTAAAAAAGTAGTGAACAAATTTTTCGTTCATTTGAACGTTCAAAATTCCATGAATTTTTAAAACAATTAAAACAATAAAAAAAACCAGAGATTTACGCTTCAGCGATTGGACAAATTCAAGGTAAGTATTTGTTTTATATACCAAAAGCAAAATAAGTTGGTATAAATTTTTTCTGTTCGGATAATGTTGGTTCTTTTTTTTTTTTGTTCTAAATAAAGAAAATAATAGAAGAATTTATACTTGCACGTGTTTAAGAAAGGTCAATCCAAGTTCCGAGGGTCGTGTGATGTATGTATCATAAGTATACATATATAGTGACGCAAAACTATATGTATATATGATACAAGTCCCTTATCTGTCAGACAATCCGTACACGATGAACTAATTAGACTCCAAGCTCCATATATAATATACTTGATCATTTCATATATATATTATGTTGTGACCTTCATTCGAGCCTAGCCAGCTGTTTGCGTCTTTTTTTTCATGACCTGAAATTACACAAAGAAATGGACAGTGGTTAGTTGATTTAAACGAGTGCTTCATAGAAGAAATTTAAATGACTCAATGTGTATATTATCTGTGTCACTGCGGAATGTGAACACATTGTTTATTTAATTGTCACGAATGTTAAATATAATTGATGTGTTTATCACTTTTATATATTATATATATTATATATACTCGGAACATTTTTCTCCTTTTAGTATATATAAAACAAACGATCTCTTTCATATATATATATTTTTCTTGAATATTTTTATTAATTTTTAAATTTTGTCACAATTATAAATTTCCATTGACATGGGAAATTCTACTAAATACCACACTGAAAGAAAAATTATTTGATTTAAATAATCGATTACTTGACTATTATCGAATAAATATATTTTCGTATCAAATAATTTTCATTTATTTTTATTAGATTATTATTATTATTATTTTATTAGATTATTATAACAAATAAATAATGTAATTGACTCAAATAAAAATTATTTGATTCAAGGGAATTTTTTTTTTACACGGAAAAAAAGGAATTGCTTACAGATGCTAACTGATGTTTACTATCGAGATCTATTAAAATTAGTAATCACAGCTAAATTTTTTTGCTATAACAACGAAAAAGTTTGCTGTGATAAACAATATTAGTCTTAATTTTTTAAAATTTACTGTCACAGCAAATTTTTTCTATGCGCGTGTATAGATCAAAAAAAAATTTTTTTATTGTAGGTACAAGTAATTGCTGATAGTATAAGGACATTTTAAATTTATTAATAATTAATGCTTTTTTTCTATAGTTGTGGAATTAATTTTTTTTTTTATCTTTTTAAATGTATATCATAAAAGAGTAATTTAAAAATTAAAACTGATTCTTTTTTTTATGTTCAATTTGTAATTGAGCATTGAGCTTTTTATATTTAAATAAAAAATGCAAATGCTTTTAGTATTGTATTTTATCAATGTCGAAGTGCTTTTGAATTTATATTCGCTTGAAATTTTTTCAACTTTCCTTTTATATTGATCACTTAAAAGTTCGTCAACTTTTCAATTAAAATTATATAAATCTCCTCAATACACTTTTCATATAATATAAAAGGTGCTGCTTTCTTCCGTTAAATTATAATATACAAGATTTAACTTTAAAAAAAAATAGAACAAAATAAATATATAATGAATTAAAAAAAGTGTAATTACACGAAAAAAAAAGAAAAAGTAATTTTTACTATACTTTCATAGTAAAACGGGAACTGTCCAAAGTTTCTGCGCATCTCTGGCAACTTTTACTCCAAAAATATTAAAATTTACTATTTTTGTAGTAAATTTTACTGTTCCGTAGTAATTTTTACTATTTCTGGAATAAATTTTACTATTTTTGCAGTAAAAGTTACCAGAGATGCGCAAAAACTTCGGACAGTTCCCGTTTTACTATGAAAGTAGTAAAAATTACTTTTTCTTTTTTTCGTGTAGGTATATATGTAAGTCATGCAAATAAATTAATTTCTAAAAATATTTCATATTTTTCATTATATCTGGCAACGTTACATAAGAACTTTTCTTTAATTTCCATTAATTTCTCCACATAACCTCACTTTTTTTTTTAATTTTACCATTTTAATACAGTAAGTTAAATTACAAAGTAATGGTTTCTGTTTTGATTAGTTCAGTTCAGAACCCCCTTAAAAATTAAAGATTAAATTAATTAAATTAATTACTATAGCAATTGAGTGTTTTATTTATGTATTTTAATATCACAAAATAGTATTTTACAAAAGAAAAGTATACTTATTTAACAGAAAGAAACAGAATAAGTGAAAAATTTATAAAATATAAAAAACAACTTGTAGGTTATGTACACGCATAGAAAAAATTTGCTGCCACAACAAATTACGTTAGCTAAAATATAGAGACAGCGAACAAATTTGCTATGGGGTCAAAAAAGTTTGCTGTGACAGTAAATTTTAAAAAATTAAAACTGGTATTGTTTATCGTAGCAAATTTTTTTTGTTCTCATGGCAAAAAATTTAGCTGGTGTTATTAATTTTGATAGATCCGATACAGCAACAGATCAAAACAGATATTTCTTGACATGCGTACGTTGATGGTATCTATCTGTTTTTTTCGCCACCTATGGGCAAGCTGAGTACTTGTCTTAGCTTACGACGAATCTTGGCACCATTTTAGTGAAGTAAATGCATGGGAGATTGGTCTCCTGTAGTCTATTCTCCATGAATCCGATAGCAAACATCAGTTAGCATCTGTAAGCAATTCCTTTTTTCCGTGTAGCCTTTTAACTTTCCGGTTTGTAAATTTAAAACTTGATGACAGTTTTTTTACTGCGTCCGACACGTGGTCACTTTTTTCCAACGTCCGACGTATGTAATTTGAATTAATGACTCACTTTTTGCTTTTTAATTATAGTTAAATTTAACTAATTCGATAGTACAACATTTTTTTTTTCAACCATTATGTAATTAGTTAAATTTAACTAAAATTCAAAAGCAAATAGTAAGTCACCAATTCAAATTAATTATAATTTTTACTAATTTAAATTTAGAGAGTATAAGGAAAAAATGAAAAAACAAAAATTGTGTCACTCAGAGAATGAATTTTTAAATGAAGAAAATATATATACTATATGAAGACTGAGAAAAGGTCCAAAATCGAAATTATGATTCACACGTTCACACTCCTTGCATATATATATATATAAATTGTTTGGTCCATTGTCGCGAGATGCATAAAGGTTTGAGAAGATGAGAGAGAAATTTTTAAAGGGAGTGGCAAAAAAAAATTCTTCTTTTTGCCGAGAGTTGTCGGTATTAATAATCATGAAAAAAAGGGGCAAAGAAGGAAGACATGATTAATACCAGCATAGGTATGACCTGCACCCTTGTGTACGTGAGGGTGGTCGTTTCTAATCTGGAAAAGAGGTCGCCGAAGGGTAAAGGAAGAGTGTTATTTTAATGTTTCGAGTCTTATATATATATATATATATATATAGTTAGTAGGATTATATGAAAGTCTGAAGCGAATAGTATCCAAGCAGACTGTTCATTAAAATGATCTATGCACCCGTGTATTTTATATATATATGCCCAATATAGTATACGAGACACGTAATCGTGAAAAAGAGAGATACACTGATGTTTATGTGTGTACATACGAGATAATAGGAAAGAGGGTGCGGGGAACTACATATTCGGGGGATGATACTCACAGAGCAATGGGTGTGGTAATTTGAGGGTTTTCGAAGGGTCAAGGACACTTTTTCATCGAATATATATATATATATAACAACACTATATATCTGTATACAAAATTGAGGAAAAAAAGCAACCCTCGAAAATTCTAACACGAATTATAGATTAGTCGCACACTATGCGGTTATATATATATATATTTCAAAAGAAAAGATAGTAATCAATTTTCTAAAAATTAGATTACCTATATGTCATTTATATCGTTTTCTGATAATATTTCTCATGAAACACCCGCGATATTTTATATTTCTTACAGACTCATCCCTTTAATGAAAATCGAGATGAAAATATATGTTTCAATGTATAGAAATGACTAGGGCAGAATTTGTTAAATTAATAAACTTTCATTACAGAATTGATAAATTTTTGTAATCATGTTTGTGTTCATCTTCTATTAATTAATTATATAATTTATAGTACTTCCTTTATAACAAAAACCAAACTTTTTTTTATCGTGTTCGAATAATGATAATTTTTTATTGGAAATACAAAGAATAATGATATAATTTCGATAATATTCTTTTGTTTTATAATTTGAAGAGACCGTCCTTAAAACGAAACAAATGCCGATAACGTTTAAATAACGTCTTAGATCTAACTGATTTTTAACGGTTTTTGAAAATTTCATAAAAATTTTGGAATCAAAATCAAAGGCGAACATATATAGTTATTTTTGTTTCTGATTTCGAAATTTAGAAATCTGATTCCGGAACAAGAATCGAAACATTTATTTTTATGCTATTGCTTATCAATACCGGAAATCCGTTCTGAATTTTAATATATATAGCTTTCTTGACATTTGCGCTTATACAGCTATTGATTCTGATTCAAAAATTTGAATTTGTACACATATGAATTCATTTAATTTTGGATTTGTGAAACAATATATGTATACCTAAACACAAAAGCTCACAGTTAACTTGAAATTATCAAATTGATCAAAATTTTTATATCAATTTTATACTTTTACATTCAACAGCGGCTACGAATTTTAAAAGGACACACGCTCGAATTTGCATTACAATTTTTGACCTCTGGTGTTAAAATTTTGAAATTTTCAATATCAAAATTCCAACGATATAAGAATCAACTGTTAAAATTTGATATTGAACAATTTCAAAATTTTAACTCCACCAAAATTTGTGATGCAAATTGGAGCGTGTGCCCTTTTAAGATCCGGATGCTCATATAGGAAATATATACATTTTTCTCTATATATAAGTTACGGTTGTAACAAAAGGACAAAAAAGAAGTAAATCAATAAAACGATATCTTGCTAACGAGCCAGTAGTAATGTACAGTGAGCCAATAATTTCAATTTATACCTCAACTCGAAAGTGCCACTGCTGTTTGGCACCGCTTTGCAAAATGATTCACTATATCGAGAAGTCATCTCTTATATATACTTTATATAATACCATAGGACCATGCGAGAGAGAGAAGGTGTCTCTTTGCCAAAATTCTATTTTGCTTTATATGTATTATATTAAGATATATAATTATATTAAACTATTTTGCAGTACTTATGTGTGCACATTTTGACATATAATATCCCATTTTATATATTACATCTATAGAGAGAAATTCATGTTCAGTCATCTACTTTGCCTCTATAATTATGGCAAGGAGAACTCATTAAGGAATAATGTATATATCGGTATGCGGTTGACTCTGCTCGTGGCACTTGGGAATCGGTATAATATCGATATTATTAGCCCAGTTCTTGTCGT